GGACCGATCCCAGCCGACCACCTTAGTGTGGGCCTAACAAAGGTCTAGGCTGATCCTAGTTGACCACTTCGATGTGGGCCGAACAAAGGCCACTCTGATATAAGCCGAATAGAAGCTAGGTTGAACCTAATTGTCCACCCCGAAGTGCGACGAACAAAGGCCACTCTGAAATGTGCCAAACAGAAGTTAGATCAAAGCTAGTCCTTCACTATGAGGTGGGTTCAATAGAGGCCACCCAACATAGGCCACAAAGAAGATAGGTTCAACCTAGCCGTCTACTCCAAAGTGTGCCGAACAAATGCCACTCCGAAGTGGGCCGAACAAGAGCTAGGTTAAACCGAGCCCTCTACAATGAAGTTTGAACAGAAGCTAGGTGAAAGCTTGCTCTCCACTCCAAAATGGGATAAACAAAAGCGTAACCGAGTTAAGTAACGGCCGAACAATGATGATCGATTGGGGGCAAGGCTACTAATCCTATTAAGGCCAAACGGGAAATCTCGCAAGGTTTTCCTATTATTGCTCGACTGGAAGAGCAACTCAATTTTTCAAAGGCATAAGGCAAAGTCTAGCCGAACAACGAAAAATGTAGGGCTACATCCTTGTTGCTCAGCTGGAGGCAAACAACATAAACATGAAGAAATTGAAAGTTCGAGTTACAAGTCCAACACTTGGCAAATTTTGAAAATACTTTATTAACTTAAAGTTTCATTACAAAAGGACCTCAGCCTAACGAAGGTGATACAAAGTGGAAGAGCCACAAAGAGAGATGAACAACAGAGGTTGGTTGGACGCTCAACACCCACTTCGAAGTGGGCCGAGCAACAAAAGTTAATCGAACATCTAATGCTTGGACAGAACAACAGAGGTTGGTTGGATGCCCAACGCCCACTTTGAAGCGCTCCAAGCAATGGAGGTTGGTTGGACTCTGAACGTCCACTTCGAAGTAGGCCGAGCAGTAAAAGTTGGTCAAATGCCATACGCTTGGGCCGAGCAACAGAAGTTAATTGGATGTCCAACACCCATTCTGAAGTGGGCCGAGCAACGAAAATTGGTCGGACGCACAATGCTCACTCTGAAGTAGACCGAGCAACAAAAGTTGGTAGGACGTCCAATGCCTTAGCCGAGCAATAAAAGTTGGAATGAAGTAGACCGAGCAACAAAAGTTGGTTGGACGCCCAATGCTTGGCCCGAGCAATAAAAGTTGGCCAGATGCCCAACGCTTCGACCGAGCAACAGCGGTTGGTTGGATGCCCAACGCCTACTCTTAAGCGCGCCGAGCAATGGATGCTAATTGGACTCCCAACACCCATTCTGAAGTAGGCCGAGCAACGAAAGTTGGTCGGACACCTAATGCTCACTTTGAAGTGGACCGAGTAACAAAAGTTGGTGGGACGCCCAATGCCTGGGCCGAGCAATAGAAATTGGTTGGACGCCCGACGCTTGGGCCAAGCAACAAAAGTTGATCAGACGCCCAACGCCTGGGCTAAGCAGAAGAAGTTGGTCAGACATCCAACGCTTGGCCCAGCAACAAATGTTGGTCGGGCACCCAATGACTGGGCCGAGCAGCAGAAGTTGGTCAGACACCCAATGCCTAGGCTGAGCAACAAAGGCTGAGCAATGAAAGTTGGTCGGAAGCTCAATGCTCACTCCGAAGTGGACCAAGCAACAGTGGCTGATTGGACGCCTAACATCCACTCCAAAATGGACCGAGCAAAGGAAACGAGTCAAAACGAGCTAAGCAAAACCAAGTTTCATAGCTCGAGTAAACAACCAAAAGATTGACAACAAACAAAGTTGGAAGTGCAACATTCTACCAAATAAATACACTACAAACAACAAGCAAAGGTCGAAGGAGTGCAGTGCCCGACGAGAGTCAATATTATCGAAGTCGATACCAAGACTATAACGACTATGTGCTAGACAACTCTCAAGATAAGAGGTGCTAAGGTTGACAATAGCTTAGTGGTAGAGAAACCGAATTAAAAAATGCAAACTCGCAACGCCAAAGCTGCTCGGGCCGACCAAGCAACTCGATGTTGAAAAACAAAAACTATGCAAACAAGCTACTACGGTCGACTAACTACGTGATGGACAATTCATAAGTTGAAGGTAAAATGACCGACCAATATATGAAGAAACGAGCTGAACAAATAGACGTTCTAATCATGTCCAAACAAGAAAATGGTGCATGATCCGCATGACTGAGCAATGTTAGCAAGCTATGCTTCGAGACCGAACAGAGTGGAGGGGCAGGACTTGGCTGACCAAGCATTGAGACCAACACCAATTTATCTCCTACAAGTAGGTTCGAGCAAAAAGATAGCGAATATGTCTTTTAAATTAGAACAAAACTGTGATAAAGCACACTTGGCCTGCTTTAAAGCATCGCTGTGTTGCTAGGCCCAGTCGACGAACACTGCAAAATTATATATATATACTATTTTGTACATATTTTTTCAAGTCAAGCAACGACGCTCAGCCGACTGGAAAAGCACCAAGCTAGACAATTACGAGGCTAGTGAAGATACACATTTAGTTTGAGGGCATAATCGAGCTACGAAATATTGGGCAGACGCAAACGTTAGGCCGAACAATAATTTTGAATCCAACTCATGAAGCTCAAATTAAGTTATGATTAACCAAACTTTGAAGTTTGTGACAGAATTAGCTTCTGCTTCGCCAAATGTAAGCGCAAGCCAGGGGGCAAATAAAGTGGGTAAAAATTAATCAAGTCTTGGTGCTAGGCCCAATGCGATGCTCACTTTGAGGTTGAGCTAGGTTGGACCTCGGCCCTATGGCCAACACTTGCTCTGAAGCAAGACAATCATAAGAGCTCGGCCAATGTACGAATGTCACTCCAAAGTGGGCTGAGCAACATGGTGGACCTCCTGGATGGGCAGTCAACCACTCCGAAGTAGGTTGAGTAACATGTTGAACCTCTTGGATAGACAGACAACCACTCCGAAGTGGGCTGAGCAATATGTTGGACCTCCTGGTTGGACAACCATTCTAAAGTAGGCCAACTCGAAGAAGGCTAATTCACTGAAGATCTTTCTTAGACCCACAAGAGACGAACAACTCTGCTCCTCTCCCTCTGTATGAACAGAACGTGGAGACATGGAGGTGCAGAGGGACAAGGTACATATATGACAGAACTGTATCTGAATGACAGACGAAGTGGTCATCCTCCTCTAATGAGAGATGTCCGCTAATGAGACAAACAAATCAGACCTGCACTCGAGTGTCAGGCGGAGTGGTCGTCCTCCTCCAATGGGAGACGACCACGAATAAGACACATTGGACAAATGGTGGAGAAAGAAGGACTTGAATGACAAACAACCTTCTCCTATAAAAGGTGAACACTATTCACTCTCAAGGGATCCGAAATCCACACACTTAACACATATACACTCTTTGTATTCTCTCTTCTCTCTTCTTCCTCTCCCTGAGTCCCTGACTTTACCATCGGAGGGGTTTCCGAGCAAACCCTGGTCGGGCAGCCTCATCGTTTGTTACTCTGTGCAGATCTTTAATTCCCAGAGCACGTTGTTCATCCACGAAGTTAAACCCTTCTTCATAGTGCGGAAATCACCCCCGCACAAAGACCGAAATAGGTTGATTCATGGAATACTAGAGAAAAATGGGAAAAATGGGTTTGAGGGGAGAGAAATGTAGTAGGGTTTAGAAGAAGATTGAAGAGAGAGTGAGAGAGAGGGGCCTTTGTTTCACTTTGGATTTTTGTTTAGACATATGACAAGAGGTTATTTGATGATTTGGAGTATTACTCGGCACCATTTATTGAGGGACACTTGTTCAATTGTCTCCTTAAAAAAGATATAAAGCTGGTGATTTTACTATTAACTTGTAAAACGGTGTACCAAATTGGCTCGTTATTGAGTTTGCTGGGCTTATTTAACTATTCATTTTATAAGATTTATTAAGTAGATGACTTATATAATAAATAAAATAAAATAAATAAATTAAAAAATTGAAAGCGATCGATATAGTGACAATACATTCTTGTACTCAATTGTCATACGAGCCTTGTGGTTTTACCTTTGGAATATTGTTACTCATGTTTTGACCCCTATTTGGAACTTCTTCCTTAGCCTTTCTCCTTGGGCGAATGTCTCAACAACACATCCTTGGCTCATACGTTGTCATACTCTGTATGTTTTTTCTATCAATAAAACTTCTTCTTTTTTGCTGATAAAAAAAAAAAAAACACAACCTTGGCCTTTCTCCTTAGGCGAATGTCTCAACAACACAAAACGAGAGAGTTTTGGTTCTTATAGGACTTAATTAGACATCTCCAGACATGAGCTGATGGCTGTTATGCGCATTGATAATTATATAATGAAATTATATTTGTTTAAAAAAAAATAGACAACAACTATGATTTTAAAAATAAATTATTTATTATTTTAAAGATAAATGTAATTTGATCCATCAACATATAATGATATACTAAGTAAGAGATAAGATGAACTATTTGGACCATTGAGTAAGTCTTAAATGGCCTAACTAATCCAAAATCACCTTTCTAGCTGGATGCGCAATTGAAATTGAATCTATTTCACATGTTATATTTAAGATGAGAGAAATTATTCAATGTCTATGTTATAAATAACTTTTATTTATTTATTTGTGTATTTAAATATTTAGAGTTTTATTTGAATTATAAATTTGAATATAAATTTACAAAAAAAAAAAAGTGAGAATAATGTGAATAAAATATGATATATTTTTTCTATTTTTCTTTCACTTTCTAAATTCTTAATAAAATCAATAATTCAAACACAAATGTCGATAGTGTTGTGCGAAAATTCTCTCTCTACCTTTTGACTTTGAGTAAAGCAAACAAAGGCAAGCTAGTATCGCAAGAAGCTCTTGCACTACTAGATGAAGGCCCAAACGGTAGATCACTGGAGGAAGAAGATCATCTGGTGCGAAGCACCAAAAAGATCAAAAGCACGTCAGCACCTATTGAAGACCAGGACATGAACGACTCTATTCAAACTCCAATAGAGGAACAACCAAAGAGATCATTCAAACAAGCCCTTATAGCAACGAAAATCAATGAGAAAGCTTTTGACAACAACCTTGAGAGACTCTCAGATGATGATTTTCTTACAGATGAGGAAGATAATGACGCAATGGAGGAAGAAGATCATAATCAGTTTGTTGATCTAGGGTTTCACGTTCCCATAATCAGGCTTCATTCGCGTCTTATCAAACACATTCGTAGGCCATGGAAAGACTGCCTAATCGTCAGATTGCTTGGGAAAACTCTAGGGTATAAACTTCTTTTATCCAAATTGAGAAAGATGTGGGGACTCCAAGAAGACTTTGAAGTAACTGATCTGGGTTTGGGGTTTTTCTTGATCAAATTCGAAATGATGGTCGATTGTAGCAGAGTGTATACAGAGGGCCCTTGGATTATAATGGATCACTATCTGACAGTAAGACGTTGGGAGCACGATTTTAAGCCATCAGAGGCAGGAGAAGTGGCCACGACACTATGGGTCAGGTTTTCCCAGCTTCCAATTGAGTACTATAATGAGAAGGCCCTCTTCCATGTAGCAAAGGCGATTGGGAAACCCCTTAAGGTAGATCTTAATACTGCCATGTCTGCTCGAGGAAGGTATGCACGCGTCTGTGTGGAAGTTGATCTAACAAAGCCATTAATTTCGCGATTTGCTATAGGTAAATATACTTACATAGTGGAATATGAGCGTTTATACTATTTTTGTTTCCAGTGTGGGAAAGTTGGACATCGGAAAGAGTATTGCAGTAGTAACAAACCAGTGCTGGAGTTGACGCCAACTACCTCAGTAGCCATAGCTAACGGTCATGGTGCTGGTTTAGATCAAGTTCAAACGGCTAGTTCATCAGGCAAACAATCTATTCCTGACAGAGGGTAGAGAGAAGAATTTAGGCCTTTGATGTTGGTGAATAGGAAAAATAATAGGCCCAACCCCATTGGAAGACAAGTTGGGCCCAACAACTATAATTACAAAAGATTTGCTAATCGGTTTGGCCTTTTAGCTGAGAATGGGAACATGGAAGGAGCACCAGAAAGAGTTAAGCATAAAGGCCCCACTGGCCCAAGCATGGTAGACATACATAGAACAGACTCTACTAGTGAGTCAGGCAACCGAAATATAGCTCAGGAAATCTTCTCAAAAGGCCAAAATGATAAAAGACAACTCAATAAAGATAAGGACCTAGCTGTTGAAGGACAAACTTTACCAGAGATTCCTGCTTCAAGCTATAATCCTAGCCTGATGCAAGCTACTAGCAAAGACTTAGAATTGATGAATACAGAGTTCAGTTCACCCTACCCTCCTTTATCACCTTTCAATCCCAGCCTAGCCCAGATTTCTTGTCTTACTCCTCCCCCATCTACCTCTGTAGCTCCCCAAAACCCCATTGATAGTTTTGATCTGAAACAAAAACCACCTGATACAAATCATGAGCACCCTCAGCAACACGAGCTTCAACGACGACCCAGAGATACCAGAAGTGCAACTCACAAGGATGAGACATAGCTCTATGGGGTCATACCTCGAACCAGAGAGCGAAGCCATTCACCAAGTAGGCATCGAATGGTGGATAGAAGAGATAAAACTGACTATAGAGCCCAGGTAGGTGAGCGTGGGAGGAAGACCACTGCAGGCAACTCAGATGGCAGCCCTAAGGCCATCAGAGTTATACAAGAAGATAGTGCGTAATTTCATTGGTCTGGCTAACACAGATCCGTTACCTCACCTTCCTAACCAATCATTTATGATTGTTATGCTATGGAACTGTAGGGGAACCGGCAACAAAATTTTTAGGAGAAACTTTAGAGAACTCATTAGGGTTCATCGCCCAAATGTGGTTGCTCTTTTTGAAACCAAAGTTCCTTTCAGCTCAATGGGTCTTTTCTTCAACCACTGAGGGTTTACTACCTCTACCATTGTTGATCCTGTTGGACGAGTAGGAGGCATATGGTTGATTTGGGACCCTACACAAGTCTTAGTCAGTGCCCATATTGCCAACCCTCAAGTTATTCAGGCTACTGTGAAAAGAGAGAACTATGAAGAGTGGGTGCTAGCTGCAGTCTATGCTAGCCCTAATCTTGGAATGCGTCAAAATCTCTGGAATGACCTTGAAGACTCTTCAAACTCCATGGCTAACCCTTGGGTTATCGTGGGCGATTTTAATGATGTAATGGGTCAGAATGAAATGAGAAGCTTCACACAGACTAATCAAAGTAACCGTTGTAGAAAATTTCTCGATAACATTAACCGTTGTGGGCTTATGGACCTAGGTTGCACGGGGTCGAAATTTTCTTGGTCAAACAACAGGTAGGGACTGGCAAATACAATAAAAAGGTTGGATCGAGCTCTGTGTAATGCGGAATGGAGGATCACTTTCCCTGAAGGAGCAATCAGAAATCTTCCTCGTACATACTCGGATCACTCACCTCTTATGGTCTACACAAAAGGTATAGCTAAACTGTCCCCTATAAATCACCCTTTTTGCTTTGAAGCAGCTTGGTTATCACATCCTGATTATAAAGATATTGTCAATTTGTCTTGGAACCATGAATCTTTTCTTCAAGACAACCTGAGTTCTCTTGCTACTAACTCTTTTGTTTGAAACAAAGATGTGTTTGGTAATATTTTTAAAAGGAAAAGATGGTTGTTATCTCAAATTGAGGGAATCCAAAAAGCTCAACATTTCTCCTCTTCTCATAACCTCTTTTTGTTTGAGAAGATCTTATCAGTCAATATAACAAAACTCTCTTTCAAGAAGAAGTTTTGTGATTTCAAAAATCTAGAGCTAATTGGATTACTCAAGGTGAGAGGAATACAAATTTTTTTCACATATCTACTATTACTAGAAGGAAAAAATTGAGAATTGATTCTTTGAAGAATGATCAAGGTGCATGGATTGATGACCCACTGTTGGTGAAAGATCACATCCAAAATTATTTCATTTTTTTATTTAACAATGAGCCTGTTGATGTCCTTGACCATTGGTGTAATAATGCCACACATAAATTTTCACATGATGAGAATAGATTATTGTTGAGAAACATTACCAAATAAGAGATTTGGGAGGCCATCAAGAATATTAATTCGTTCAAGGCACCAAGAAGAGATGGATTTCAAGCCATTTTTACCAAAAATTTTGGGACGTGATTGGGGCCAATTTTGTGATTTCATCAAAAAGTGTTTTCAAGAGAAACATATGCCTCCCATAGTAAACCAAACCCTTATTGCCCTCATTCCCAAGACTAATATCCTTGAGAATATTAAGCAGTTTCGTCCTATTAGCCTTTGTAATGTCTCGTACAAAATTTTGCCTAAATTATTGGTTAACCGCATACGGCCCCTCCTTAATGATCTTGTTAGCCCCAGTCAAAGTAGTTTCATTCCTAATAGAGCCACTCATGACAATATTATCATTACACAAGAGTTGATTCATACTCTTAGGCACAAGCAAGGTAAATATGGTGGTCTTGTTATCAAAATCGACCTTGAAAAGGCTTATGACAAATTATCCTGGGATTTTTTGAGAGCAACTCTTGAAGAGTTCAATCTTAACCAACATTGGATTGACCTTATAATGTCTTGTGTTTCTTCTGTCAGTTTCTCCATTTTATGGAATGGGGAGACTATGAACAATTTTAGTCCTGGAAGAGGATTGAGGCAAGGAGACCCTCTTTCACCATATTTGTTTGTGTTATGCATGGAAAGGTTGTCTAACATGATCAGAGTGCAGGTTGAGAAAGGAAAGTGGAAAGAGATTAAAGCTTCAAATAACAGCCCTCCAGTTTCATACTTGTTCTTTGTTGACGACCTCTTTCTTTTTGCTAAAGCTGACCAATCTAATTGTGATAAAATCATGGAAACTATGAAAGAGTTTTGTTGCATATCAGGGAAGAGAATCAACCTGCATAAATCTAAGGTGTTCATTTCCCCAAACGTCAACAGGAATTTAGCTAAGGAGCTCAGTCAACAGTGTGGGATAAGCCTTACCCAAGACCTTAGCAGATATCTTGGAGTTCCTCTCATCCACAGTCGAGTTAGCAGAAATATCTACAATGGAGTTATTGAGAAAATCCAAAAAAAATTGTCCTCATGGAAGGCTAAGGCCTTATCCTTAGCTGGTAGAGCAACAGTGATTCAATTTGTGTCATCTTCCATACTTTCCTACATTATGCAAACCACCAAACTCCCTCAAAGCATTTGCAAACAAATTGACAAGCTAAATAGAAATTTCCTATGGGGTGATCAAGAGGGCAGGAAAAAGGTTCACTTGGTTAATTGGCAGCAAGTCTGCAAGAGTAAACAAGGAGGTTTGGGACTTAGAAGGGTTGAAGATCAGAACATTGCTCTGTTAGCCAAATTGGGCTAAAAATTAAATTTAAACCAAGAAGCTGTTTGGTCCGAGATTCTTAGAGGCAAATACCTTCACAAGCACACTTTTGCTAACTGGCCTACTAATAAGAATGCTTCACATACCTGGAGGAGCATTATGAAAACTAGAGATATTCTAACAAAAGGTGCAAAATGGACTGTTAGGAATGGGAAATCTATTTCCTTTTGGAAAGATTGGTGGTGTGGAGATGGGCCTTTAGCTTCTCTCTTTCTAGGACCACATACCAATGAGGCTGTTAAGGTTGTTGATATGCTTAATGAAGAAGGAGGATGGCAGCTTTCTGAGATAGAGAATATTTTACCACCTTCTGTGCTTCATCAAATTCATGAGGTACACCTTCCACAATTTGTCAAAATTGTAGATAACCCCTACTGGATTGGATCCTCTAGTGGTGGGTTCTCAGTTGGGGCTGCCTATAATCTCATTATCAAGCAAGATTCTATTCAGGCTCATGGCTTGGTCAATTGGAGTTGGATATAAAAATTGAAACTTCCTAAAAAACTGAAAGGGTTCATGTGGCTGCTAATGCTTAACAGATTACTTAATAACCATCAAAAGAAGATCAGAGGCATTACCAACATTGACACCTGCCCCAGATGCCAACTCTACTGTGAGGATTTCAATCATCTTCTGAGAGAGTGCCAGAAAGCTGTGGAAATTTGGGAAATTCTGAGTAACCACAGCTGGAGAGTATCCAATGCTAACATGCCCTTGGATATTTGGCTCCAAAACAACATAAAAAGCAAGAGTAAAGAATTATCTAGTGTCCCTTGGGGTACTACTTTTGTAGTCACTTTATGGAGCTTATGGAAGGCTAGAAACAGTTTCGTTTTCAGACAAGAGGAGTGCAGTGCTCAAGAAACTGTGAGATGGATTCATCAACAGGCTGTTGAAATTTATCATGCCTTCTAGATTGATCATTTCACATGTGATAATTTGCTGTATAAAACTAACTGGTGTCCTCCTTGTGCAGGGAAAATCAAACTAAACACAGATGGATGCTCCAAAGGAAACCCTGGACCTGCTGGGTATGGTGGGCTGTTCAGAGATGCTAGAGGAACCTGGATACTTGGCTATTATGGGAAATTGGAGGTAACTACAAGTGAGGAAGCTGAGCTTTGGGGTATCTACTGAGGCCTCACCATTATTTTGAAAAAAAGCATGCAGGATATTACAATTGAAACAGATTCAGAGCAAGTGGTGTTGCACATCAACAACACCACCCCCAGTAATTATCCACATAGAGCCTTGTTAGAAGACATCAAATTTCTTATGTTGAGATGTAACTGTGCTGTTTCTCACATTCTCCGGGAAGGGAACAAGTGTGCTGATGGTCTTGCAAATATGGGAGTGAATCATGTAGAGAACTTGGTAGTTTTAGATAACCCCCCAAATAAAATTACAAATCTATTGATTGCAGACATTGTTGGAAAAATTGGTTTATATAGGCATATTTTGGGCCAACTTTGAATCCAAAATTGAGTGGGTC